TTTTAAAATGTTTAAAAGTTCATGAGTTTCCAGTATACAGACTGAAAACTTCATTTCCCTCTTGAGAGTTCTGGCACTCTTCCCACCCCCCCAAAAAAGCCCCGATTAATACAAACCCCGGATGTTATATAACATCAGTTCTTCATCCAAAAGTAGCCCTTTTCAGATGTTACAGTCGCATGCACTGGGAGCCTATCAACTGCACATAATGAGAATATGCATTGCACCTGTGAACCTCCCAATATGTGTGGTTGTTGTATGAACAACACACTTATTTACCATGTACGTACAACCTTGGCATGCATTAACTTGAATGATGAAAAATCCAGAGATCAATTCATCCATGCCAGAGCAGTATGCACATGGTAAATATGCACACTGTCCTGTTCATACAACATGGCAACTATGCATATCTGGAGGATCACAGGTAGTGAAATCTTCCTGGTAAGCATGATAGTTTCCCAGTTTATGTGACTGGAATGTCTGAAAAGGATTAGTCCTACAAGCAAGAATCCTTGGAACAGACTTCAGAAGAGGAAGGAGAGATTGGCTTTATATCCTGCCCTTCACTACCTGAAGGAGTCTCAGAGCGGTTTAAAATCCCCTTCCCTTTCCCTCCCCACAAAAGACACCCTGTGAGGTAGGTGGGGCTGAGAGAGCTCTTTTGAGAACTGCTCTTTCCAGAATGGTTCTGAGAGAACTGAGACTGACCCAAGATAATCCCAGCAGCTGCATATGGAGAAGCAGGGAATCAAACTCCGTTCTCCCAGATTTGAGTCAACTGGCTCTAGCTCAAGCCCTAGCTAAATCATAACTCCGTCCTGAAGTCTGCCAAGCTCAATAGGATTTGCACATGTAAGTAACAACTGGGCCTCTACTACATCCAAAATGGTTGCCTGAGAAGGCCCTCCAAGAAATATTACACTTGCCCAGTTCAGGCCAACAACAAAACCCACAACAAAATGGTATGACCTTACCGTCTGTCTTCTCCGACAGGTGAAGTTCTTCCATAGCAGCAACCCCAGCTGTGACCAGAATGCCATCTTCCCTCTATACACACCAGCAGCACCACAGATGGCGGCAGCAGCACACAGCAGAGGTACTGTGGCTGGTCATCAACTAGAAAATAACAAAGGGAGGAGATAAGCAACCTCTGTCCATTCTTCAAGAACGGTAAACAATTCCAAGGGCCACATTCAGCTCTGCTGTTTATGCCACTTCATTCCTAACAAGCCCAAGGTTTCTATTCCAATACCTCCCACCCTCCATAGCTACTACAGGTGAAGAGGGAAAGGAATAATAATTACAGATTTTTCAACCACAGCATGCATCCTGAGCCATGCTCTGTGTCTAGTTGTAGTTTCTTTTTGTGAAATGTGCCGTCCTTCAGAAATACATTAGAGCAAGACTTCTTCCTCCAGAGCAAGACTTGGTAGGTGCAGAAATAATTGGGCTGCATCCTACAAACCACAAATGGAAGGTGCATGTGGATGAGGATTTTTCCTGCTTTCGTCTACCCTAGCGGCTCCCTGAGACCTTTGAAAAAGCTGGTGCAGGGAAACTTGGGAGAAACTATAAATGTCATCCAGAGCTGTAGTGGGGAAAGGGAACTGTGCGAGATCATCCCCAGCTTTCAACAACAGCTTTTTGTGGCAGTGGAAGCACCATGGGTAAGAGAGGGAGTGGTGGGTGATTTTGTCCAGTTCTCACTGCAGCCCCCTATGGCCCATGACATTTTGTCTGTGAGCCTCTCACGACGCCCAGCATCACAGCAAGCTGTGGCTGCGGCTGCAGGGAGAGGCAGGAAAGATCCACATCCTCGAAGGCACTTATCCTCCTGTGTCACAGGCTCCAACTCAATTATCTCCTTCTTCTAGGAGAGAAGTCTTACCGGGGAAGAATGAATCTTGCTTCTTGGAGCAGCATAGTGTGTCCTCCTCACTTGCCCAAAAGGAGCCATTAGATCAAATCCTATAGCTTTGGAGCACTGAACACTTTCTCCACTGCAGCTCCAAACCCTTCTGCTCTGACCACGATTCACATTTCTGGCGCACTTACTGCCTCTACACACTAACCGTGCAGTCCGAAGCATAATTACACCCTTCTAAATCTATTGAAATCAATGGTCTTAGAACAGTGTAACTCACCTTAGAATTACACTGACAGCAATTATTGTTATCGGCAATTAAATGATCCTCTACTATGTTTTATGACTGGTAGGTCTCCAGCTACGGTGGGAGACCTCTCCGCCGACAGCCTCCAGTCCATACCACTGCTTGGGAGGGCGGCAATGGGGTGATGCTCTAAGATGCTAGTAAAACTCTGTGCTGAAACAACGCAGCTTCAGTGGAATCCTAGAGTGTTGCCCTGATATTCCTCCCAGGTTCACACTGGAAATGAGGTCATCATGCCATTGAAGCAACTCAGTGGAATCCTAGAGTGTTGCCCTGATGCGATGATGTCACTTCCAGGTTCACACTGGAAATGATGTCATCATGCCATTGAAGCATCAGAGTTTTACAAATCTAGAATAGTTTGCTGTAACACGCTCTACGTGGGGCTGCCCTCGAGAAGTGTCCGGAAACTTCAACTGGTACCGCCTTGATCAGAATGATCAAAAGATGACCCCCTCAGTCACCAACCTATGTTGTCTTTTCCCATCCCATCTTTATTTCTTTGTCGCTCCCCATGTCACCTACAACTAGGGCACCTAAAGAAGCACCTCATCCTGTGCGAGCCTGCCCACCAATTAAATCTTTTGCAAGTTAGGTAGGTGAGCACCACAGATGTGGCCTTAGTGGTGCCTCCCTAGAGAAGCTCACGGGGCCACTTGCCTGCTTTCAAGCAATTCCCCCCCCCCCGTTTTATTAGTTGCTGTCAACACATCCTCCCACTTTCATCTCTGTTATTCTTTCAGTATGCTTTTTATTGTTGTTCTTGTTCTATCTGATATTGTTGTTCACTGTCCTACTGCTCTTTTCCCTCTGTTTTGGCTGCAGGTTTTATCCTTGTACCTTGTTGTTTTACTCTTTTTTATCTTTTCTTTCTTTTTTACTGTTATGAGAGGTCTTGCAGATATGTATAAGGAGAAGCAGGGTATAAATACTTTAAACAAAATCAGTTAATTGTATCTTTTCAGCCTGGTTTGCACGTAAGGGAACGGCAACTAGAAATATGGGAAGCCCCCTTGTAATACGGTTGCCTGGCAATCAATGGGAGACAGTCGTAGGGGGGGGGGACAGGGACATGAGGTGGAGCAGCTGTCAGCATGATTTCCCTCTGGGAAAACCCCAAAGTGACATTGTATCTCTGTGGTGAAACTACAGCGTTTCTGGCTATTCCTAGAGAGGAAATGAGAGGCAGGGGGCGGGGAATCATCCATCTCTACTGGGGAGCTGGCAAACCCTACCTTATAAGCACACCTTAGTAACTGGGGTTACGTAGGATCACTAGCGAGAGCCAGTTTGGTGTAGTATCGTGATTAAGAGCGGCGGACTCTAATCTGGAGAACCAGGTTCGATTGTAGTGAGGAAACCAAAAATACCCCAAGATAATTACAGGGGTGAACTTGAGTGTAGTGTAGAGTGTAAGTTCCGGGACAGGGCTGAACCAGGATTTAAGGTCTAGTGCGGAATCACCCAGTGCCTCCCAAATAAATACGTTCATTTTGCACATTTAGTTCAACCACACTGGAGTGCAGAAACAGCCATATTTTACTTCAGTAAGGCTGCGATCTCACACACTGAATAAGTGGGAAAAGTGCAGAAAAGGGCAACTCGAATGAGGAAAGGTTAAAGCGCTTGGGGCTCTTTAGCTTGGAGAAACGACGACTGAGGGGTGACATGATTGCGGTTTATAAGATTATGCACGGGATAGAGCAGGTAGAGATAGAGGTACTTTTCTCCCTTTCTCACAATACAAGAACTCATGGGCACTCCATGAAATTGCTGAGCGGTCAGGTTAGAACGGATAAAAGGAAGTACTTCTTCACCCAACGAGTGATTAACACATGGAATTCACTGCTACAGGAGGTGGTGGCGGCTACAAGCATGGACAGCTTCAAGAGGGCATTAGATAAACATATGGAGTCAGAAGTCCATCAGTGGCTATTAGCCACAAGGTATAGATAGGAACTCGCAGTCTGGGGCAAGTGATGCTCTGTATTCTTTTTGCTTGGGGGGGGCAACAGTGGGAGGGCTTCTAGAGTCCTGGCCCCACTGGTGGACCTCCTGATGGCACCTGGTATTTTTGGCCACTGTGTGACAGAGTGTTGTACTGGATGGGCTTTTGGCCTGATCCAACATTGGCGTCTCTTATGTTCTTATCCACTTTCAATGCACTTTCAATATACCTCCCAAAATCCAGTTGGGAAGTGGATTGAAAGTGGGTTATTTAGTGTGTGTGATCACAGCCTAAGATCCTCAAGCAGTGGTTGTAGCCAGGGAAGAAATGATGGGCCCCAAAGCAATATGCCAGAAACAAAATGTTTGTAATCCACAAAATGGAGAGGGGTTTGGTTCTAGGTACAAACTCGTCTTCACTTTCAGAAGACCGTATTGCCAAATGCTGTGCCTGATCCATCCACAGCTGGTCCAGTACCACCTATTCCAACCAGCAGCCGCTCTTCAGGCGACACAAGTCTTTCACAGTCTTGCTTCATTTTAATTTGAGATGCTGGACGCTGAACCTAATGTCTTCTGCAGCAAAATAGACACTCTACCACTGAGCTATGAGCCCTCCCCAGATAAAATTGGAAGCTGCTCGGTTTCAAGTCAGTGTGGCTGCCAAATATAACCCGTTGCTGAACATAACAGCTACGTAAGAGAATGTGCATATCTCTTCTATGCCCCTCCTTTGAACAGACATCACAGCTCTGCCATTCTGAAACTGTGATATGACCACTTCATATTGGCACACCAGCTCAAAAGTGAACCTACTTCTCAAAAAAAAAGAAGCAAAATAAAGGTCTTCCTTCTGGGTTTTATAATCATTAGAAACCAGCCCTCACACTGTAGCCAGATCCGTCCATACTTTCACACTTGTGCAGTGGGATGGGACGGATAGAAATGGTCAAAATGAAAGCATGCAGCAGCACTTCAGTTTCAAAATTAAACTCTCAGCACAGCTGTATCAAACAAACATACAACAGCCTCAGGGAAGGGGTAGAGGCCTTTTGGTAAACAATGCAATCTGTTTGCTTTCTGACTACAGGGGGAAAAACTTAGGGGGGGATGCCTTTCCCCTAGGAAAAAAACACTATTTAGTCAGTGACTATGCAATCTTTAGAACCCCATGAAGAACAACCTGATCCTTGAAATCTCTTTTTGTACTGAGGATCAGGCTTATCATTCTTCCACGCCTCTGGTAAACAATACACATTCTTGAAATCCAGGCTTCTACTTTTTTGAGTAAGGTTCTAGTCCTCATTGACATCAGAAATTACAATGCCTACCTCCGTGCTATAGGTAGGGTTGTAAACCTCCAGGTGAGACCTGGAGATCTCCCAGAATTACAACTCACCTCCATACATCACTTCTATTAGAGAAAAAGGCTGTTTTGGGGTAATGGACTCTATGGCATTGTACCCTGCTGAGGCCCATCCTCTCCCTTCCCAGAACCCATCCTCCCCAAGCTCCACCCATAAATATCCAGAAATTTCCCAACCCCGAGTTGGCAACACTGCCTACAGGGCCCTCACTCAATCCTGGTTTTTATGTTCAGGAGCAGCTTCTGTGTGATCACCTGCTGGTAAGGTTGCCAGACCCCACCCCCGCCTCCAGGCCCCTCTTCCCTGCTGCCAATCAGCTGGCTGGCAGTGGGGGACTTACCCAGAGAAAGAGTGAGGCCCAGATGACATTGCAGTGATGTGTCTATGTCACTTCCAACAATGTGATGTTGGCAATGTTGGGGTGACACTCTGGTATTTGGCTAAAAACTCTATGGCAGAAGCCAAATCTACAATAGAGTTTTTGCCCAAATACCAGAGTGCCACCCCAATGTCACTGCAAAATGACATCACTTCTGGGTCACGTCGGAAGTGATGTAGACACATCGCTGCAACATCAGCTGGGCCTCCCTCGGAGGGTTGCCAAGTCTGGTTTGGAAAATACCTGGAGACT